ACCCTCGCACCCAGCGAGGGGAGGAACAAACATGACAAGATGTCATTGACTGCAATGCCCCTTGCAACATTGGCATCAAAACTACCACTGTCGATGAAACTTCAAATCTTGCAAGTGGTTGACCGGCAGCGGAGGGATCCATTGTCCTACTTCCATTCTTCGACCCACCAAGATGCCCCCCAGCACTGTGGAGTGACATGGCTTTCTCCCCTTGGGGTGCGAACCAACCACAGCGGACATCAAGTACCCATGGGGTGGGCTGTGGGGCGGGCAAAGTGGAAAACATCCACCGTTATAGTACCATGTTAGATAGAGTCTATAGTACTATATGTTATAGTGAACTTAGACAAATGCGCCCTTCAAACATAGTTGACAAGGAGCAGTCGTGCCACCCTGTCCCTGTCCTGTTATAGTTATAGAAGTAGTCTTACACTCATGACTTCAGGTCAAATGTGTCCATTCCATACTATGCAGGAGGTCCTCCACCCAGCACCCCAGGTGTCGACTTTGATTCCCAGATACTTTGAGATACCAAGACTTAACCATAAGAGTTGTTTCACGCCTTTGTGGAACATCACCATGATGTCCTTTGGAGAAGAATAGAGGGGTCCATTTACTTATTGGTTTCTTGACGACTGGGAATATCCCCTCGTCAGAACCAACCAACCAATATAGAATCAATATTGAAGCAAGGCATAGAAATAGAACCATCTATGGAGCATAGGAAAGGTTGGAGTCACTGGCATAGACATAGTAGACATTTGTGAAGTGAGGACAGTAATCCGAACCCATCATGTGCGTGACGTGGAGCAAAAGCCATACTGCTCCGTTGCTCAACTTTGGGGGGCTTCAGCTTAGTGTTCCACCGTGCTGATGACAAGTTGCTATGTTGATTTCCAGCTGCAAGTCTTGACAACATAAAACTAAGACAACTAAGACCCTAACGACGCCAGAAACGCAGCAACCTGCAGTGCAGCCCGGCTGCAGCCCATGCTGAACGACACAGCACGTTCATGACAGCAGAGCACCAAAGAATACCAAAAACCATTGGTGAATTGAGGAAGCCATCTGCAATCTGTACAGTATGGCATTGCAAACAACCCCACAAAAAGTCCAGGCCCTACTTGCAGCTGTTCTGATTTGGTGCAACTTCCTTTTTCTGTCTGCGGATATTTTCAACTGTGTTCAAACCAACATGGACAAATACAAGTGTAAAATGCCAAACATTGAACAGCTACGTGAGAGATGACTAGAACGAAAGGACTATATAACTATATGGTATTGGTAAATCAAAACTTTAGCTTTGAGTGGCTGTTCTTGTGACTCTCCAATTTGTCTTCTGCTGGTAAGGAATACAAAAAGAAAGGTCAGGACTGACTTCCTGTCTCAAAAAAAACAAAAAGACACAGGCCCTTCGCAGTCGCGACACAAATCACACCTTTCGTCCGACATGCGAATTTGCCATTCATTTGGACGAATTCTTGCGCCCTTTGGACGAGTTCGTGTCTTTTCCAAGCCAAGTCACGCACGGCGTCGGCGTGGCCGGCGTCACTGGCCCTCCCACGATGGCGACCGGTGTGGCCGCGGCCGTGGGCGTCCATGCGACCGAGGCCGAGGAGAGGCGCTGCGGCGCCGGCGGCGCCAGCAGCGCTGGAGCGAGAGCGACTGGAGCGGCTGGCTGCCTGGAGGGTTGAGCAGGATGGATGAGGCCAAAACAAGCGTGACAACAGTTGAAAGAAACAAAGAAAAAATGAAAAAAACAGTTTGGATCTGTTTGGGGAGGACCATTCCTTCGGAAGAGGGCCGTTCTTCAAAACCACTGGCAATGGAGTCGATTCTATAGATTCTAGCTGGTTGTTTTGTACCAAAGGCGTCTCTCAGTGCTGTGGTTTCGAGTCACACACCTGTTCATTGGTCGAGTCTGCCCCTAGACTAGCAAACGATGGGTTGAGGCCACAAACCCTCGCAGAATCCTCTAACTTCGTTTGGCAAACGGACCTGTCCTGGCAAAAACCTGAAGCTTCTGGACCGTCTATCCACTTCGATGGTCCACCAGGTTCCCTACAAATCAGCTGCTACGTTAACTTTGCTAGCCTAGGTGTTGGCCTCAAAGCAAAAACGTCCATGATTGACAACCAATAGGACATGTTTAAGACATGTAGCGAGATGAGAACGTTAGTCATACGAAACGATGACCATACTCAACAAAAGTGCAAACGTGTACAGTAAAACAATACCATGTAAACAAATTACATACTCAATGACCCATTTGCCATCCTCTTTGCACCCGTTTTTCTCACAGTCCCCACACCTGAGCGCTGGCTTTAAGCTGCTTGGTGTTTGGTTCACCTGGGAGGACGAGCATGGAGACGGATGCGAGGACATCCTCAGCTTTGGCTAGGCTATCAATGTTGGCTCATACCCAAGAGTGAAACTGAAAAAATGCGCCTGAGACTCAACCCAAGCCTCAAATGACCAACCAATTAGATGAGACGACAAAAAACGACCGGGTGAGATGGATCTGCGGTTTCCAGACTCAGAAACCGAACTGCGTACATGCAAAGAATACCACCAAACACAAACGGACTTTGCTAGAAGTGGATGTTGATGACGATTGATGAGTTATCCGTGGCAGAATCAGAATCACACATAGTTGAAAGGTTTACTCATCGTTTTCTCCGTAGCTTGCAGGTGAATCAGTACTGCTTCTCCGGAGTCTTCAGAGCAGCAAGCACCCATTTCGTTGCAAGCTAAAATCAAACCCAAGGTGTCAAAGGTTGTGCTTCTTCGTGTGTTGCCACCTCAAAGTGGTCTGCCTGAGCTGCCAACTGCAAAGCTGTCGCGCCACCTTCCATTGCGGTGTTCCTCGCAGCACCCACATCCAGCCACAAGTGTACCACCCCGAAGTGGTCTTTCTGACCTGAAAAAATCAAAGCAGTTTTGCACAAGTCTGTGACACTGCATCCTTCTCCATGCTACCATGTGACTACTCGGTGTCGGCACTACTTCTCAGCAATAGCACCACCTCCAAGTGGCCGTTCAATGCCGCCAATTCCAAAGCAGTGTCACCAGCCTGTGTCACTGCATCCTTATCTGCACCACACTCCAGCAACAATTCTAACAACTCCAAGTGGCCGTGCAGAGCTGCCAAAGACCGTCCTGTGTTATCAGCGTGGGCCTCCAGCAGCAATCGCACAATCTCCAAGTTGCCGTTGTGAGCTGTCAAATGCAACGCAGTGTTACCAGCCCGTGTCACCACATCCTTGTCAGCGTGGGCCTCCAGCAGCAATCGCACAATCTCCAAGTTGCCGCTCTGAGC